TGTTTGCTTTATTTTCTTTGGCCTATGTTGAAAGATATAGAAATGCGGAGGGTTTGAAATTTTTCATATATTCAAAATTTTCAAATTCATAAAACTCACGGCTTTTGTCCAGGTAATAACCATTCACTTTCAGCTCTAGAGTCCCTCGGGTCATAAGATTTTAGCCATGTTTCATCAATCGCGATAATCTTGTTAAGAAAGCCAGACTCACGTTAATACCTTGCAAGATGTTTACCTGCTATGTTCATTCGAGCTTGCATTTGTCGCCAAGTTAACTCTTTAGGGCACCACCTGGACCTAATTTTCTTGTGTTTATATTTTAGTACCAAAAGTGGGAAACAATTCATTTGAAAGCCATTACCAAAGCCTTTTCGAGGAGTTGTCTGCAATAGGATCGGGAGGTTTTGGGACAGTATTTAAAGTGAAGCATATATTCGATGATCACATATATGCCGTCAAAAGAATTGAGTTTAATAGTAAATATAAAATAGTTATAATATATTCATTAAAAGAGTTTAATATAATTATAATATACCACAGAATCTAGCGATGAATATATGAAAAAAATTTTGATGGAAGTAAAGAATTTAAGAAAACTTAATTCGGATTTTGTGGTCCAATATATCACTTCATGGCCTGAAAGCAAACACCTCTACATTCAGATGGAGTTCTGTTCACAGAATCTAAAGAATATTCTCGAAATTAAGCCAAATATATTTAACAGACAGTCAGGAGATCCCATGAATTGTGTCGAGTATTTCATTTCGTGTGAAATATTCCGTCAGATCTTAGAAAGTGTTCAGTATTTGCATGAATTGAGTCCAAAGATCATTCACAGAGACCTCAAACCCGACAATATATTGATTGACGGGAACGGAAGGAACGGTAGATTTGTTAAGTTATGTGACTTTGGTTTGGCTACAGATCACGACAAAGACATTAATTATAAAACTTACAAAAAGCACACCTCAGGGGTCGGAACCATGAGATATATGGCACCAGAAGTACTTCAGGGCTATAAATATGACCACAAATCGGATGTCTATTGTCTCGCAATAATTGGTTCAGAAGTATTGGATTTCGACTTATTTTTGATTGACTTAAATGAGTATAACTTGAATACAAATGTTGTGTTTATTTCATTTTTACAATTTTCACTATAATTAATAGTTTACAACACTATTCACAAAGGGATGACATACTGAACGCACCGGTAGTTAAATTAAAGCGAATTCTGGTGTCAATGGCTTCGACCCCAACGTTCAGTCAACGGCCCGACTGTTCACAAGTACTGCGAGAATACAGCGAATGGTCTGTCGATCGGAATATTCTGAGGAAAAGTGAATTCCGGATAATATTAGAGAGACTTATATCACATGAAAACACATTTTTCTATGAATTTGTGTCCAATTATTTGAAACCATAATTGCATTTATAATAACATTAAATTTCTGTAGTTTTCTAAATGTTAGGTTTTATTAATAAATTATATTTTCATTAAATATTGTAATTTAAGTAATTAGATATAGATTATTAAACTTTTCATAAAATCATTTTTAATTTTTATTTTCATAGTTGTATTGCATTTTAATTTTTCAAAATTCACTAAATATGTCAGGGTATATGCGGTATATTCAGCAGGTTTATTATTATAATTCAAAAAAATCCCAACATTATTTATCTGAGTTATTATTTATTCTAAATACCCAAGCAATAATTTTATAATAGTCATTAAAATTAATAGTAAATTAAAATTTAAATCACATGAAAACACATTTTTCTATGAATTTGTGTCAAATTATTTGAAACCATAATTGCATTTATAATTACATTAAATTGTTATAGCTTTGTAAATGTTAGATTTTATTAATAAATTATAATATATTTATTAAATATTGTGATTTAAGTAATTAGATATATATTATTATTTTAACTTGTCAAAATTCACTAAATATGTCAGGGTATAAGTGGTAAAGTTAGCAGGTTTATTATTATAATTCAAAAAAACCCAACATTATTTATTTAAGTTATTATTTATTCTAAATACCCAAGCAATAATTTTATACTAGTACTTTTACAATTACTAGTAAATAAAAATTTAAATATGAGTATTATATTTATCTCGTATTTTCAATAACAGCACCTTTGGATCAAATTGGATTTAAATAATACATATTACTGACTCCAGTTCCCCTTTTGTTACATACATTTCCCTCATTCTGTGTCAATATTCTCGTGACAATTAAATAGTCATTTATTTGTGTGAATATGACTTATATTGCGATTAAAGTAAATCATAAAAGTATTCATTAAAACCTTAACTCGTATTATAAACAAATAGTTTAATGAAAAATATTTATAAGGAATTGTAGTTGAATTATAACATTAAATCAATAATCAATTGCACCGTCCTTTCTGGAGATATTGTGAGCTAAGGTGGGGGTGTGGTGGCCACCCGGCTTCGCCAAACGAGATATTAGCTTGCTACTTTAGTTTACTGAAGGTATGCGCGTTTATCAGGAACAATTTATTAAATAAATACAATTAAATCAAGAGGACAATTTATATTTTATTGAAATACATTAAATAGCAAATACATAAAGTAATATGCATAGGAGAGCACTACACATATTAGGTCGTATAGAAAGTTTGTTTCTGGCTATAATTTAAATACCTCTGGAATGGCTTAATATTTTCAAAAGCGGTTTGTTTTATTGAATAGCCTAATAATGTGATG